GACGATGTCTCTTTGCAGGCTGCGTTACGTGAAGAAAAGCAGAAAATGAGAGAGCGCTTGGTGCACACTTTCGAGGCACTAGAAGGCGTGGTTGGGAGTGGGAGGGTTCGGAAGGGATACGGAGTCAGTAGTAACGGCTTTGCGCTCAGCTCGAAAGAGGGTTTGCATTTGTCCTTGGCCATGGTATTGGACGCGGCTGCCGAAGGCGCGAGGCGTGCAGGGAAAGAGACGGCTTCCTTAAAAGCCATTCAACTCCCGTTGAACTTGCTAGAGCCCGGAGGCGTGATGGTGGCGGCACAGGCGCGGGAGAAAGGATTGGAGGTGTTCGCGAACCGACCCTTGACGGCTGTCTCACAGGGAGGGCTGTATCGACTCGTGAACAAGGCAGCGCTCTCTGGAGAGCCTCCAGGGGGCTACATGGAGGCATGCCGCACGGCCCTGGAGGTGTTCAACCCCACGAGTTTGTTCGAGGGGAGGGCGGAGAAGGAGCTCATGGAGGAGGAACTAGAGACACGGGAGGGCTGCAGAATTATTCAGGATCTCATTCGAGACATGAACCGGCAGCTTACCTCCTTCACGTCCACTGAGACGTATACGCAGGAGCTGGAGCGACGGATCATTCCTATGATCGCCTCCACCTTCGAGAGTCTGGACGAGAATGCCGCGGACGCTCTGCAGGCGTTTTTTGTCAAGTACGGGGAGATGGTGCGGTACCATGCGGCCATGCGGGCGGTGGAGGCGTGTAAAGCCGCCGGGCATGTGCTTGGGGGTGGGGTAGGAAAGGCGGGCGAGCCCCTCCACGAATACGCGTTGCGCTGGTCTTTGGATAAGGTGCCGCGACAGCTGAGTGGAGTCCTGGTCGGCATGCCGTCGGAGGAGTACGTGCACGAGGCCGTGCGAGTCGCGTCGACGGAGAGAGGGGGGGAGTCGTGAGGGGGGGTCGGAGAGGGTGTCTCGCTAGTCCTTTGGCGGAAAGAAAGCTAAGGGATACATGCTTTTACTAAACAGAATGAAATTAGTTTGTGGAAGATATTTGAACGCTTTCATTGAGCTTTATTATGGGTGGAAGATCTTGCATCACTTGCTCGGATGCCCTGGTTTGTGCGCACTGGAACACATTGTCGCTCTTTTTACGCATCCGGCACGGCAGGGCGGGGAAGGAAACTTGTATCCTGTCGGTGAATTTTGTCTTTGGCCCCTCGGCAGGCGCCGCATCTCTTGTTTCTCGATTTCTACGCTTGGCAGTCAGGGAGTCGATTGCTGTCCTTGCCGCCCGGTCGTCGGCGATTCAAAGACCCGACAATTAATTCGGACACTTCTCCGTTCCACATGCACGGGGACGGTGTGTCTCGATCACGCCACAAAACACATATCAACAACACATGCACAAATGCCGTACAGAGACGTGGGTGTCCCACAAACAGCCGGCTCAGCTTCCTCGGCGGTTTTAATTGTTTTAAAACCGCGTCCCAGAGCATCAAAGAGGCGGGTTAAGCAGCCACACCCTGTTCCCCGTCTCCCTCCGGCCCTCCGCCGCCCTCTCCATCTTCGTCCGTCTCCAGACGGATCGGCTCCTTGAAGCGGCGCCCCGGTAGAATGACAATTTCTCCATAAGCCGCCCTCTGCTCCAATTGGACAAAGTCCCACGTCTTGAGTTGTAGGAGTTCCCAGAAAAACTTGGCGACATTCGCCCTGGAGGCCTCGGCTGCCAGGGCCTGCAAGGTGATACCGCGGCGTATTGCCTCCTTCCCTCGCAATTGCCGGCGGAGGAAGGTGAGGATCTTCACTGTGTTGGGGTGCCAGACAAACTGCACCTCTTCCTCTTCCAGGCGCTTCGAAACCCGTAAACGGGCTCCGATCCTACCCGCCACCCCGGTATCCTCGTCCTCCATGCCGTCTGCGTGCACCCTCTCATCCCTTGAGCCCACAGATCCGTCGTCATCGAACCCCAGCCCGCTCGACCGCCGCTTGCTCGCCGAGGAATGATGTGCGCCACCCTCCTCCCACCCCTGCGTCCCTTCCTCGTCCATCGGCGGCAGCGACACATAGTCCTCATCCTCCATGCGAAAGTCTTCATTCTGCACCATCAAATCCTCCTCATCTGCTACTCCCTGCCCCGCCTCCTCTGCCAATCCTCTGCTCATCCGTCTTTCCTTCTCTCCAACCACCGACAAAGAATCCCTCCCCGCCTCAATGGTCTCCCGCCTGACTCCTTCTGCCCCCGCGCGTGCCTGCTCAATATCATCGCCCTCTCCGTCCGCTCCCGCTTCCACCGTCCTTTCAGCCACCCCTGGCTTCATGCCGCCCACTGCCATTGTGATACGGAACACTTCCTGCAGATCGTCTGAGAGACCGGGAAGTGTCGGGGCTTTCATTCGAAGCTCCACCGCCTCCATCATCGCCGCCCTTTCCGCCTTCCCTCCCTCCCTCGCCCCTCCTCTTCCCGCTCCCCCTCGCACTCGATCTCGAGGGCGCACCCGGGGCAGGCAAATGTCGTCGTAATCCTGCAATTGAGCCTTGATTTGGGCCGTCGAGAGGATGGTGGTCGCATCCAACCGCAACAGGCGCGGCTTCTTCTTCTTCTGCTTCTTTTCCTGTTCGCGTTGCGCCCTCCTGAGCTCACCATCCCACTCCATCAACGCCTCTCCTTCTGTCACAGCCGGTTCCTCTTCGTCCCCCTCGACGCTCGTGCCCAAGGACAAGTCGGGCAGGGAGGACAAACCGCGGGCCTCCCCCCCCTCCTTCCCTCCCTCCATTCTCTTCTGCCAGTCTTCATCCATTATGGGCGGGGGCACGTCCCCATCGTCCATAAACATCATGTCGCCTCCCTCGTCCTGATAGTAGTACTCCTCCCTCGCTCCTTCCTTTCCCATGACTTCCCCATAGTCTGACACCCTTCCCTCCTTTCCTCCCTCCCCCACCTCCAAAGACGCCCTTGACCTTTTCAGCGACGAACGCCGCCCACTCAAATCGCCCGCGTCACGGCCGAGTTCTATGTCACTATATCGTCCACTGTCATCTTCAAAACTGGTCTCCCCTCCCCTGTCGACGAGTCCTCCTACTCCCATTGATTCATCCAGAGGATTGAATGGCACCCAGTCCTCAAGCTCCGCCTCCGGATCAAAGAGGGAGCTCTGATCAATCATGCCTACTCCCCCCCCTCCCTCCCTCCCTCCTTCATCTTGTAAGGTGATGGTTTCTCGCCTTGCCAAGGTTTGTGTCGCTGCCGTCACCCATTGATCCGCCATCGGCAACGTGTCCAAGTCCGGTCTCCCCCCGAGTCCCCCTCCAAACAAGCCATCCCTCCCTTTCTCCGTCCGTCCCTGAAAGCCGGCGAAGTCCAAGAAGTCTTGATCAAACTGGCCGAAGTTCTGCACATTAATGGCGGCTAGAGGCGCTTCGGAGGCACCAGTAGGTAAATCGACAATACCAGGGCGAAACGCCTTATAAGAAGGGGATGGGTATAACGTTTGTAAGCACAGGCTGAAACTGGACATTGCGCCAGCCGTATGAATTATGAGTAGCAACAATATTCTCAGACATAAAACATAAAAGAGGCAGCCCGAGAGCAAAAAAAGGGACAGCTTGTGAGGGATGTAAGGTCTGGAGTACTTTCTTTTCTCCAGAATAAAGAAACATCTCAACGGAAATCGGAAGAGTCTGAAAAAGACAGGAAGTAGCCTCATGGCGTACCATTTTGATCTTAGTCAGCGCTTGGGAGCAATCCTCCATTAGGTATTTGACTTTGCGGGAGTAGATGCGCACAACGCCCAGCAGCAGGTGGCCGGAGACGCGAAGGGCGAGCGGGACCGTTGGGTGCACGATGGAGTCTGAGGAAGCGCAGGGAGAAGAAGATTGAACAATGGAAAAGCGTTATATTGACGGTCACAAACCGGCACAGGAATGACCACAGTGTAGGCGAAAGCCTATGGCTATCGCTAGATGATGAACTTACCGACGGACTTAGTGATGTCAGTCTGGAAGACCTGCATTTTGGTCAACTTCTTGTCCCAATGGGCGGCCAACCAGACCTTACCCAGGGGACCCTTTTTGGTCAGAAGACTAGAGGCGAAAAACATGGTACTGCAATGTGGTACTTATGCTAGTCCAGGGGAACCAGGAACAAAGCGAAGGCAGGAGTGTGCTTGGTGCCCACCGACTAGGCCTCCCTTTGCCAAAGCGATATGTCTCTTCGGACACAACCCTTTCTCTTTTGTTAGCAGGTGAGATTCCTGTGTGAGAAAAATGTAAGAAAAGAAAATGTTTTGTCATCCATGTCGACGACCTCTAAAGGCATACATCGTGAGGGGGAAATTGAGGAGGCGTTCAAGATGGGGCTGGAAATGTGAACGGACACACCCGGCGCTTCGCCTACCACGTGTCGTACATGTTACAGAGTTTGTAAGCAAATTTAACACATGAAAATATTGAGAACATTTGATTAATATTCCTTGGTTGAGTCGAATTTGCCTCGAAACCAAATGGCGGCAAGACACAACCTCCTTTTTCTACCGCTTCTCGTTGCCATTCCAAAAATCGGCGCTATTAATCAATGAATCATGAACATTGCCTCCATCCATGTAATTCACTACCAAATTAATCAAAAGATCACAGATTCTTCAAAATGATGGTGAAAATGACGTGATCAGCTCCTATCGGTCGACATGGTAGACATGGGTCGAAGGGAGGTATAGGTACACGCATCGAGTTGGCAATACTTGGTTTTCGCCTCATTCTTCTGCCTGCAGCCACCTGCGTACCACCAGGATATCGAAACTTTGTGCGAACACTGACCATGCATTCCACAGATGCGCGACCATTTTCTAACTAAGTTACCTCGTAGTTCTCAGGGCCCGCCCCCGGTCGCCGATGGATTTGGAGGGTGGGAATGGCGGGAAACGAGAGGGAAGGGAAAAGCCCTCGCCGACCGCGAGCCGCGAAGACCGAGATCGCTCCCAGCAACTCCTCACTTCCTATCCCTCCGGGCAGCATAGTACTGTCCCCTCTTCACTTCTCTGATAGTTCTTTATGTTCTTTTTAGATTTTTATTTTAGGCATCCTCCACCGAAGTTGCTGCTGCAGATATCTCACCACAATTCTGATATCTCCAACCACCTCATACAGGCTGTGGGTTTAATGCAGTGTCTCCACCCACCATGTGCAATGTGTGTCTTATTCATGCTCAGTTTCTCACGTGCTGGAGTTGTCACGAAGAACCCAAAAAAAATCATGAAATACCTACTAGTCGCTTTCAGATTCTACCATGTACTTTGTCACTTCATATCAGATCGAAATCTGGTTGGAGCAAGTCATCGATATTTGCGCCCTGCCATGATCGCAATGCCCACAACAGCCAAGCCTACAATGCTACTCATCGCCAAGACCGTTAAGGTTTTGCCGCCGCTGCTTCTCCCACCGCTACTTGCCCCGCTGCTACGTCGCGTTTTCGGTCGCCGGCGTTTGATTATCGTAACTTTCAATACCGATAAGTGTGCTCCGTGTGCGTATGCCAGCATCTCCTCAAACCCCTCGTCAGTATCAACCGTGATCACATCCTTCTGGTCGTCCACATAGGTCCATGCCCGCTGGCCAGTCGGCATGTCTAACGCCTTGCCAACGGCCTCGATGGCGGCCTCGAAATTTTCCGTTGGCACAGTCACCGTCTTGACAGCACCGTCCTCGCCAACAACCTTCAGCCGAAATTGAGCGCCCCCGGGTGCGTTTAAAGCACCGCGGGAGGTAGAACCATTTAGCTGTGAGGCTCGGCCCTCGAGCGCAGGCTCCGCAGAGGATGACATCAACACGTGAAGGTTGGAGGTATGGGGTTGACCACTGCCGGCGAGGACCGACGCGCTCTCCAGGTCCTCATGCGGGTCCACAGGATTGGCCTGTATGTGCCGCTGCTCGTCAGGGTCGGGGCCGGCGCCGCGGAGGGTGGAGCGAGGCCCTGCGATGATGCTCCCGGGATGGCGCGACGGCCTTGCCGCAGCGTGCGAGCTCAGTTCGGATGCGGACGACCACCCTTCCCCTTCCCCCCGTCCCTTCCGTCCGCTCTCCTGCGCGGAGGCCCAGAACTGACGTCCTCCATCCTCCCGGCCGCAGACCACGTGCACAATCTCCATGACGTCCACCAGCCCCACCACCGACCCGTCCCGGCTGTCCGTCACGGGTAGGTGCAGATAATGGTTCTCGCGCATCATGTACAAGGCCTCCAAGACCGTGGCCTCTGCCTCGATCGTGTCTGGCCGGGCCGTCATAACACTCGAGACCGCCGTGAAATCTGGGCTCAGTTCCTGGGACACCACCCTGCCTAGCATGTCCTTGGGGGTGAAGATCCCCACCAAGCTTTCATCCTCATCCACCACCAACACCGCCTTCCGACACTTACTCATGACTTCGGCGGCCGTACGTACGTTCACAGTGGCCCGGACAATGTTGGTCGGTGCCCCCTGCTGCCCTAATAATGCTCGCAGAGAAGGGTTACAGTCTCTACCCGGCTCTGATTGCTCCTGCAACAGCTGCATGAGGTGCATCAAAGCTCCATGGCCCCCCTGGGCGACGCCCGCCGATGCGGCTGCCAGGGAGGAGGCAGTTTTCTCTTCTCTCCTCTCCAGTCGGGTGATCGCGTCGCTTAAACACTTGGCGATGTCCAACAAGCCCACTACCTGACCATGCGGGCCCATCACAGGCAGGTGCCGGAAGCGGCCCTTCACCATAGTGGTCAGCGCATCGATACTGTCACTGTCTTGCGAAACAGACTTGGGGTTCTCAGTCATGATGGTGCTTATGGGGGTCTCGGTCTCCGCTCTGTATTGTGCAATCACCCGGCGCGTCACGTCATTGTCTGTTAAAATGCCCAAGACCTTTCCCGTCCGGGAAGTCACTAGGGCCGCATCTGTGCGTTTGTGGACCATCGCCTTCACCACCTCCGTAACAGACGACGCCCCGTCGACCACCAAAGGGTTGCGGGGCCGTAATTTGGAGACAGGCCGGAAGGACGAATCTTTCTTGCCTCGGAGCGCGATATGAGGGATGCTCCCGACCCCAGACAACCCGCTGCGCATGGAGCCAGCTTCGGACTGCGACTCCCACGCATCGTCTCCTTCCGCCATCGTCGACGCCCAGAACGACCTCCCGCCGTCGTCCTTCCCTGTCAACGAGCTCAGACTCTGCACGATCTCCATCGCGCTCAGCAGCCCCAGAGCGCGGCCACTCTCCTCCACCACAGGCAAATTCAAGAAGTGTCCGTCCCGCATCGTGTACAACGCATCCAACAGTGACATGTCCGGGGTCACGCTCCCAGGCTTGGGCGTCATCACCTCGCCCAGAATCGCCCCCCCCGGTGACAGCCCCTTCGCCACCACCCGCCCCAACACGTCCTTGAAGGTGACCAACCCGATCAGCTCACCGTTCTCACCCACCACCAGGCATGCCTTACGCGAGGCTGCCATCTCTCTCGACGCCTCAAGAACACTGGCCTCTTTCGAGAGAAGTGCTGTAGAAGAAGCTCCGCTGAGCATACTCCCCACACTCGGCAGCTTGCTCCCACCGTCCTCTCCATTCCCGCCGCTGGAAGAAAGCAATTGCATGAGCGTCGAGACAAGCGCCGTCTGGTGCTTTCCCCCGCCCCCACGTCCTGCTAACGCCATCGCCATCGCCGCTGCCTCCAGCTGCTTGTTCGTACCGTTGCCCAACTGTTTCTCCCGATGCTCCTCCATCTTCTCCAACCGAATGATAGCATCGTTCAAGCACTTGGCGATGTCCAGGCATCCCACCACCGCGTCCCCAGAGTCCAGCACGGGAAGATGACGGAAGCTGCCCCGTACCATCAAGGTCAGCGCGTCCAAGCAATCATCCTCCAGCGTCACCGTCGTCGGGTTTGCAGTCATCACGTCTTCCGCCGTCGTCCCCTCCACCGACAGCTCCTTCGACACCACACGTCGGGTCACGTCTGTGTCCGTCAAGATGCCGCTCAAAGTCCCGTCCTTGCCTGTCAACAACACCGCTGCGGCGCGACGCTCCACCATCACTTGTGCAACGGCAGCCACACTGGTCGTCGCCGCCAGCACCAGCGGCTTGTCCGGCCGAAGCTTCGACACGGGGCG